CCCCCATTAATTGCTCGCCAGCGCTAGGGGCCCGGTTACCCCCCCATTACTAACCGGGGCGAGGGGCCGCTCCCGGGCCGCCAAGCCATTCCCCGCAGGGGGTAGCTACCGACTCGGCTGTTTATCGCCCTTACCTCAGCATCAGCTGCCGAAGCCCTCCGCTCCCTCCAGCCCTTAGCAACAGCCGCGGGGCACACCGGGAGTTGTAGTTCCAGGACGGTTGATCTCCACCGCCGCGAGCCGGGACGATGACTACCTCTCCCAACATGCCCCTCGGCGGCAACGGGGCCGTCCCTCCATCATGTGACCAAGGAGCCGTCCAAGGGGGGGTTGTCTGAAGCCGGGCGGGAGTGGGCAGGCGGAGCTTGGCCTACGGCGGCCTGCGGGGGACAATTGTATAAGGGCGGGAAGGCGCGGGGGGTGTGAAAGGCGAAGCCAGGGCTTGCCTGAGCCTGCCAGGGGAGTGTGGCGGCTGCTGGCCACCGCCTGGGGTCACTGATGGGGCTGGCCTCTGCACCCCCCACACACCTTAGGCCTCTGCCCCTTAGCACCCCCACCTGGCCTTTGCAGCCTGCAGCTCCGGGGCCGCGAGACGCCCTTCGCCGCAAGGCACGTCCCTGCCCCTCAGTTTTGTGCCCTGGGGGCTGATCGACGCCGGTTCGGTCGGACCCCGCCACGGCGCGCAGGGGTGTGAACAGTCCAGCCCCTGAGAGGCGTCACCGAGCCGGCCTAAGCCCCCCTAGACAGCCCCCGGTCGAGGGGAGAATTCTTCCGGCTGCCCCGTCTCAGGGAGGTGGATTTACTACAGCGACGGATGTTCCCCTCCCGGCGCCGCAGTGAGCGGCTACGCAACAGCGCTGCAGCCGTGCTGCTGAAGCGCCTCTAGTGAAGACTTAGCCAAGTTACCTATTTTCCTCACCGATTGGGCATCCCCTTTAGTGTCAGGCCTGGTTAGGGTGGCACTGGCCAGGTGCCCAGTTTTTGACCGGAAAATGAGGTCGAAAAGGGGACCTGACAGTGTCCAGTCAGCTCTAGTCCGATTGCCGTGGGGAGGGGCTGAGTCGTCAACCTCTCCTGCCCCTACTCAGCAAGGGCTGCCTCCTACCTGCATCGGGCAGCTGCAGCTCCCAGCCCCGGCGAAGTAGGCGAGTCCCTCCTGACCCGGGTGGGGGGCAGGAGAGGAACAGCAGCTAATGATGGCGGGGAGGAGGAATAGATTGGGGGCGGGGCAAGGGTGAGGGAAGAGGTGAGGGGTGGGGCCTCAGGGGGGAAGACAAGAGGCAGGGCAGAGGAAGTTCTGGCACTCCTGCTGGAGTATCTGGTTTTTAAATATTACCAAGTTGGCAACCCTAGGCCTGGTCTGCACCAAAAAGTGACGTCATCCTTGAGAAAAATTGTTAAGCCAATATAAGGCCTGGTATAGACACTGCTAGGTCAACGGAAGAATTCTTCCACCTCTTGAGTGGATGGTTTTATTACCATGATGGAAAAACCCCTTCCATGGCTGTAGCAGGTGTCCACACTACAACAATGTAGCTAGCTGTGCTGCTGTTGCATTTGTAGTGTACACATACTCTTAGAGTTTGTCTACACCTGGAGTTATTCCAGTATAACTACATGCGTGGACACTCTTATTCGCAAGTAAATTTGCCTTGTTGCAGTTTAGCTTAATCCCCTTTTGAAAGCAGATTACCAAACGGGAACGAGGCGTTCTTATTCCAGAATAAGAGTGGCTACACGTGGAGTTATTCCAGAATAGCTATCGTCCTGTAAACCTACCTTAATCCAAATTAACTTTCTAAAGAAGGCCTTCTTGTTGAGAATTATTTACATCAGAATTAAAGAAGTTTGACACTGAGTTTATGGAAAGAGCTGTTGACACTGAAGGAAATAACTTTGCAGTATTTCAGGTTTCCAGTGTACCGTTAGTTGTGGGGCTCTGGCACATACTGTGTCTCACATTTGGGCCTTGGTAGACTGACAGGCTTGGTCTGGCCTGATCTCACTGCCCTTTGGCAGCAGTGGAACATAAGAACGGCCATACTGGGTCAGATCAAAGGTCCATCCAGCCCAGTATCCTGTCTGCCGACAGTGGCCAATGCCAGGTGCCCCAGAGGGAGGGAACCTAACAGGTAATGATCAAGTGATCTCCTCCTGCCATCCAGCTCCACCCTCAGACAAACAGAGGCTAGGGACACCATTCCTTACCCATCCTGGCTAATGCACCAACTCCCCTCTGGCAGCATAAAAGGAGGGTCTGGCAATTAGTGGCCACTTAAGATCCCTTTTCTTCTCCAGCAGCGGCACCTGCCTAGGCTTGTTCTTAATTCGGGTTAGCTAACTCAGGTTAAAATAGCAGTGAAGACACTACAACTTGCCCTTTAACTTGGGTTAGCTGCTCATGCTGCCAACCCAAATTGCAGTGTCTTCACTGCTGTTTTATCGGAATTAACTAACACAGGTTTGCTAACCTGAGTTAAGAACACACCTTTTTTTGTAGTGTAGAAATACCCAGTGAAGCTACTCCAGGGTTAACAAGTATGCAAGGTAGAGGAGAATCAGGTCCAATGTCTCACGTCCCTCGGTGAGAATGGCTGAAGCGAAGTCAGGATTTCAGCTCTAAACCAGCAGAGATCATTCTGCCTCTAGTGCAGAGGTCCCCAACCTGTGGGGGTGTTCCCCCCTAGGGGGGCATGGAGGAACATCTAGGAGGCATGGCAGGGCCTGGGCCAGCCCCTATAGAGGGCGGGAAGGGAGCACCAGCCAGCCCCACCCTCAGCTCTGCTCTGGTCCTGCCTCCAGCCACGTCCCAGGCTCTCGGCCCCACGCCTGGCCCCGTCCCCAGCCTCGGCGTGGCTCCACTTCTGGCCCTGCACCAGCCACCAGCCGCGGCCCCAGCCTCGACCCCCTTAACCCTGTCCACTTTTCCCCTCTTCCCATGGAGCTGTGGCCCTGCTCCTGCCCTGGCTCCAGGGGGGTGCGACCCTCAAAAGTTTGGGGACTGCTGTTCTAGTGAAGCAGCCGAATACCCAGCAAGGCTGGAAGCTTGACTGGGCTGCAGCTGGGGAAGAAGGGGAGTTTCATTGCACAAGACCTATCGCCACCTTTTAAATGTGTCCTTGTTTATTGAGGAGCACTTCCAATATAATTGAATTCTTAGCCAGTTTACACTCATCTGTGGATATTAAACATTCATCTAATGGATTTCCAGCTTGTTATATGTAGAGCTGGCTGGCAAGAACATTTTTCAACACTTTCTTTTTGATGAAAAAGGTTATTTCAAATGGAATGAAGATTTTCTGATTTTGAATTTATTGAAATTTCCTGACAGTGTCCATGAAAAATCAGAAACTGAGCATTTTCTATATAAAGTTTCAGTTTTGTAAAACTGAACATTTTTTATCAAAAGCATTTTTTACAGAAAACCCCCCAAACAAACAAACCCCAAACAAACAAAAAAGAATGAGAGTTGCTTACTGTTTAGAAGATGGCTTAGTCTAAGTGCTCTAACATCTATGTGCCAACTCAGAGTGTCTCAAGACTTGCTGGGCTTCATGTGGGTATGGGATGGAGCTAGTGGTCCAAATTTGGGGTTATTTGAGCCAGGTGTTTGTGAGATACAGCCCCCTAAAAATCACATGTACAAAAATCGCCTGGTGTGAGTGAGGTATTGTTCAAAGAGGGTCCAGTTAAGGCTGTGTTGCAGGGGTGAAAAGATGTGCTAGGAATTTTGTGCTGACCCAAGATAGACAAATAGCAGCTCAGACCCTGTCCCTGGGCAGCCCCTGCTTGAGCACTCTCCAGCCCCACAACAGACATGCCTGCCTTAGCGCCCCTTTGTTTCACCTCTCTAAGGAATATTGTCTCTCAGTAGGGAATTCAACCCCTTTTTATTCACGTAAAGTGCCACAGACTGCAGATCCCTCATAGGAAAACAGTTCCTCCCCAAAGTAAAACAAAGTGACAAGGCAGCAGCTCCTCAATCCCATTCAAAAGTCACTTTTCCCAGGTCACTCACCTTACAGTCATTAAGCAGTCTGTCCCCATTCCTTTAGCCCCTGTTCCAGGGCCCCACTCTCCAGGGCATCCACCTTAGAGTTCCCAGACTCGCTTCTCTCCCACAAGTCTTCTCCTGTAGTCCCGAATCAGGTCTCCCATGAGAGGGCTCCCTGCAGTATTTCACTCTCCCAGGTCTCCTCACCTGTGATTCCTACCCCCTGCTCAGGGGAACCTCCCTTCAGAGCAACCCTTATTCCTGGGCTCCTCCCACAACCCTCCACTCAGGTCTTCTGCCAGAGGACTCCTTGCAGTGTTTATACTCCCCAGACCTCCAAACCTGGGAATCCTCTTACCCCTACTCCTGGGCCTCTCCCTCTGGAGTCAGCCCCTTGCTTCTGGGCCTGCCTTACACTGACCACGCAGATTCTTCCCCTCATTCCTAGGGGCACTGCACAAGCCTCCCTACCATTTGGCAGGGTTCCCCAGCGTTACCCAGGCCTAGCAGTTTTCCTCAGAACTCAGCAGCAGCTCACCGTTTTTCCTAGATTCGTAGGTTCTAAGGGATGATTGTGATCATCTAAGTCTGACTTCCTGTCTAGCACAGGCCAGAGCCCTGGCCCCAAATCATTCCTAGAGCAGATCTGTTAGAAAAACAGCCAAACTTGATTTTCAGCGATGGAGGCCATGACCCTTGGTAAATTGCTCATTAAAAATGTACACCTTATTTCCTGTCTGAATTTGTCTGGCTTTCAACTTCCAGCCATTGGATTGTATTGGACCTGTCTCTGAAAGACTGAAAAGTCCATTATTAAATATTTATTCTTCAGGCAGGTACTTAGGACTGTAATCAAGTCACTCCTTAGCCTTCTCTTTGTTAAGCTAAACCCGTTGAGCTCCTTGAGTGTGTCACTCTAAGGCAGGTTTTCTAGTCCTTTAATCTTTCTTGTGGCTCTTCTCTGAACCCTCTCCAATTTATCAACGGCCTTCTTGAATTGTGGGCACCAGAACTGGACAGTGATTCACCATTCACAATTTCCCTTCAGCGCTTTCCCTCAGGCAACTAGCCAGTTCAACCAGGCATGTAAGCATATGCCTAACTGTAAGCATGTGAATAGTACCATAGGTCTTAAAGTCTGGCATT